CCCTGGCACAATCACCCCCATCCCAACCCAGCCCCATGAACGCACCTGCGCAGGTGCACCAGCGGCCCAATGTCCAGCAAATCGCTCACAGCTGGCATCAGCCCCTCCAGCCGTCCCTGCAGTCTCAAAGCCGCACCAAACGCGCGCTCTGCCGCCTCAAAGCCTTCCGTCTGCCACTCTGCCTTTGCCAGGAGCGCCTGCGCGCCCGCCTCGAGCACGCATGCGGCTGCCGCTGCCGCTGCTGGTGCTGCTGCAGGTGCTGCTGCTGCTAGGCTTGTGCCAGGCTGTTTCCACGGAAGGGGCCCGGCAAGGCGTGCAAACGTGATTGCTGCTGCAGCGTGTGCCCCCGCCTCAGCCGCCATCCCCATGCGGCCATCCAGCCGAGCGAGGACGACGTATGCGGCACCCGCCACAAACGCCGCCGCCCCTGTGGCGCAGTCGGCGGCCTCTCTGCACCCGTGTTGGCTGGCGTCCGGCCTGTCTGCCGCAGTGCCATGTGACGGCACGACCCAGTCAAGCGCCAGCTCACATAACTGTCGCGCCGCATCCAGCACGCATGGGTTGCAGGCGTCGACGCCGCCGCTGTTGCCGCCGCTGCGTGCTGCTGTGGCCCCTGGTGCTGGCGCAACAGCAGCTGCAGCCTCTGAGGGAGGCGTGGCTGCTGCACGGGGATCCAGCTCCTGCAGGGCCTGAAGCACCGCGACCGCTGCACGAAGCACAGGGGTCGCCGCGGCCGACAGCCCAGCCGTCCCAGCTGCCTCCATCACTGCAGCCAAGGTTCCCCCATTTGCACCCCTCGCGCCTGACTGCGCGCTCAAGGGTCGCAGCGGGGCCAGGAGGGTACTGAGCCCCTTCCTCCTGCCATGGATGTCTGTGATCGCGAAGCCGAGGGTGATGTGCGGGTCGAAGCTGCCAGCCAGGCCGAGCGCGGCGCGGCCAGCTGCGCCGGTGGGCCATGCGACGGCGCAGTAGATGGCTTTGCCGTCGCCGCCGCAGCAGCTGGCGAGGCCAAGGGGCAGCCAGCCATGTGGGTCGACCTATTGGTGCATTTTAGCAAAGGGGCGACGAATATCAAGGGCCATTTTGCAGATGCCGGCACAAAGGTGATGGAGCAGCAGCAGGTGGGGCTGTCATGAAGCGCCTACGCGCAGGGAGCGGTGGCTCAACCACTGCTCTGCCTGCACCTCACTGTGGCTGGGGCCGACACTTGTTACAGTACATCCCCGGTCGCCCATCCTCTCAGTGCTTTCTGCGCGCTCATCAGTTACCCATGTCGCTGCAGCCTGAGTCCCCTCTGCTCACCTGCTGCTGCAGCAGGGCCAGTACGTCAGAAGGCTGGAGGCCGCCCTCTGCCGCCAGGGAGTTGAGCTCGTGAGGGGACACCAGGGTGATGTGGTGGCGGGGGCCGTCGCGCATAACCCTGATGAATCGGGCCGCGGTGGTGTTGAAAATCAGCATGGCTTGGTAGGCCATGTAGACGGGAAGGCGTGTGCTGGCTCGTTGACTCAGGCCAACACTGACTCTTGCCTGATGCAACAAAGTTTGGAGACCAATGCGCGAGCGCTTTCGCGCTGCAGGCTATGAAGCGAATTGCTTGCTGGGCCGGCCAGCCCCACCTGTTGGCCACGAAAGCATCTGGCACCTCTGGATGGTGCAGCTCCAGCAGCTTCCTGGCAGCTGCATCCACTGCCTCGCCAATGAGACCAATGAAGGACTTGCCATTGCACAGCTTCAGGCGGCATGCCGGCAGGTTGGTCTTTGTCGGCAAGGCTGGGATGGTCGTATCTGGGCAAGCTGCTGCCACCACGCCCACTGCCCGTGGTGATTGCTGCTGCTGCTGCTGCTGCTGCTGCTGCTGCTGCTGCTGCTGCTGCTGCGAGACCAGGATGCTGTCCCCAGCCTGCTGTGGCTGCGGTGGGGCGCTGTCACAGCCATCTGCATTCTGCGACCCCGCCGCCGCCTCCGGCGCTACCGACGCCACGCCCTCCATCCACGACTCTGGCAGCCAAACAGTCAGCTTCTCGCCGGCTGCCCATACATCTGGGCGCACGTGGTTGAGGACCAGCTGCCGCTTGGTCCAGTGGCCGCCGCTGTTCTCGATGGCCTGCTTGAAGGCGGGGTGCACCAGCTTGGCCCGACCGATGAGCCACGGCCCCTCCTCAACACGCAGGTAGAGGCCCTCCACGTGATTCCAAATTGAATTGCCTGCCGTGTCGCACGTGCTGGGCCCACTGCAGGCGCCGCGCACCAAGTGCGTGCGGCAGTCTGTCAGCAGCCGCGCTACTGACTGCAGCGCGTCTGGCCCCGCGAACGCCCATGCCAGCCTGGCAGGCGCGCCGTCGCCGCTGTGGCTGATGTCAGCTGGCCGCTCTGGGGCGGTCAGGCCGGGTGGCGGTCTCAGGCGGGGCACAGTCCAGATGCCGATGGGCTGGAGCATTCGGTCGCGCTCGGCACTGCCGGGGTATTGTCAAGGGCGCCAAGAATCAGCACGGGTGCGCGACATCATCTAGCCTAGCCGCACTGCAATGCGATGCGTTGCCCTGAACAAAGTGATCATCCAGCAAACCAGCACCCTCCAGCTGCCCTTGAAGTGTGAGCTGCCCGTTCCCTCGACCGCCAGCGACGGCTTGCCTGGACAGGAAGCGCTGCGCGTGGCTGTCAAGAACGTCAAAGGCCAGGAACCAGTCGGGGAGGCAGTCGTACGGCATGGTGTGGCGCGCCGCCAGCCACTCCCCAAACAGCACGTATCGGGTCCCTGCAACACGGCAAGCACAGGCCAACGAAATGAGGGTGCAAGGGGGGTGCTGACCGTCAAGGCAGAAGCAAGGTGATGTCACAGTATGTGCGTGCTTTCTAGAGGCGAATCAAGGTGTGATCGTGTCATCAGACAAGGCAATCAGGGGAGTGCGATGACAGGCTGTCGTCATTGGCTGCTGCCGGCTCACCCAGCACCGCGTGTAGCACGGGCCTGTGCTGCCGCAGCCAGCCCGCGAGCTTGGCAAACTGCGCCTCGCTGGCGGGCGTCACCCAGTGACCGCGCTTCTGGCAGCGGGGCTTGCCGGCGTCATCGAAGGAGATTCCGAGGTTGGCGCCGTCGACCTTCTCCTCTGATGGGGTATAGGAATCAAGGCATGGGGAGCAAAATCATCGACGCAAGGGTGCAGCAGTCAAAATCTGAATCTTGGTTACAGGATGATCAAGCTGGCAGGGACTGGCGTGCAGTGCAAGGCGTCAGCCATAAGCAACTGTTAATCGGTGCACGTCATGCAGCTGCCAGCTGCAACCAATAAAGGTGTGGGGGTCTGGGCGGCGCCCTCACCGAGCACGACGCCCTTGCGCAGCCACTCGGCCGCCTCTTGAGGCGTGAGCACCAGGTCATCGCGTGTCGCGGCGCCCAGGTCCTGCAGGTGGGGCGTCCTGGGAAACTTGAAGAGCTGCGTGTGCCGCTCCAAGGCTGTGACGCTCCGACCGCCGTCCGCCCCGCCGGTTTGGGTGGCGGTGGCAGCAGTGACACCGCCAGGCGCCATCACCGTAGACCTCCTGAAAAAGATAAACACAACGGAATCCTTCTCTCTTGCCTCGCAGAGGATTGTCAGGCAGACCAACGACGGAAGATCGTCGCTGGGGCTGGGTGGTCTGCGTAAGATACCGTTCTAACTGTAACATGTACACATTTGATATACGCAAATTGCGCATGCAGTGGGGTGCGGGCTGAGCCTACGCAAGTGCTTCGTCCCAACAGCTGCCGGGCAGGCGTCGAGGCGGAAGCTGTGCAAGCACAGGCCTGCCCTTCTTTTGAATCGTGTGCCCCTGCTGCTTGCCAGCGAGGCTGGCCTAGTGCAGTGTGTACAGCGGCTGATAGAAAGGTGCACGTTACACCATTTCAACTTTGTTGTCTGTCCATTCGCCGCCGCTTGGCGGCTGCCCCCTTGCCGCCGCCCTGCTGGGCTGCTCCACCTTCCTCCTCGGCATCACCCTCCGCCGGCATCGAGCCGACCTTGCCGTCTGCGCCGCCACGCTTGCCGCCACGGCCCTTGCCATCGCCGCCGCCGCCGCCGCCGCCCCGCTGCTGCTGTGTTTGCTGCTGCCTGATCCGTTCCTGCAGTTCCGACAACCGCTGCCTCAGCGCCCCTTCGCCCTCACCCTCCTCCGCTGCGTCACCACCACCGCCGCCGCCACCGCCGCCGTCCCTGCCATCGCCGCCGCGCCGCTCCTCCTCATCCGCGGCCGCGTCTGCTGCCTCCTTCTGCTCAAGCGCCGCCACCATTGCCTGCCACACTTCGTCCTGCTGCGGCGACAGACCGCCGGCCTGTGGATTGCGAATGACATTGTTGCAGGGGCGATTTGCTTCCCATCGACTCACGCCTCGAATGGGGGGCCAACCCCCAAAAGCAGCCGCACAGTGCCGCCTACAGGAGACCACATCATGGGCGCACTCACGATCAGACGCCTGCGCCAAGCGGGCGCCCTCCTCAAAAGAGGCTCTCCCTCCCCCGACCAGATGACAATTCAAGCCTCACCTGGCCCCCACCGCCGCCTGCGCCGCCGCCTCGGCCCCCAAACCTGAAGTGGGTCTCCTCCAGCGGCGGCACCCTGAAGCTGCTGCCCACCACCACGCCGCGCCCGCTGATCTTCTGGCCGCACAGCGTGAAGATGTCCGGCACGCTGGTGCGCAGGACCTTCGGGTGGGGGAAGGACGTGCAGGGGAGGGGGCTGAGGAAGGGGATGCGCGTTTTTGACGCCTGCCTATGGGGTTGCAGGTGGCGGATGCGATGGCACTCGCTGACGCGAGGTAGGGGTGCCTCGACGGCTGCATCCAAGCTGAAGGCTCGGCCGTTCCTCTGACTTTTGAAACCCTTGGCCCTGGGTCCTGAGCAAGCGGCTGGCAGGACGCTGGCCCCGTTGCAACCAGCCGGCCATCCCCGGCGGCCTCACCTGTGTGACCATCTGGCGGTACCTGGCGCCCTGCTCCATGGTCTCAAACATCAGAGAGCGCCCCAGCTGGGGGAAGGGGTGAGAGGAGCGTGTCGAGGCAACGGCCCGCGGGTCAGCAGTAGCAGCAGCAGCAGCAGCAGCAGCAGCAGCAGCAGCAGCAGCAGCAGCAGCAGCAGCAGCAGCAGCAGCAGCAGCAACCAGACAGGAGTGTCATTCAGTCACCAGGGATCCTATTTCCCCCGTACTACAGGCAGGTTGCCACACGACAAGCTACTCGGCTGCCACGTGGAGGTGGCCCCACAGCCAACAGAGCAGCATCGCTGCCGGCCTCCGCCGCTGCAGCCCTACCTGTGCGTACATGACCGTGCGACGGTGCCCCGCCACCGCGGGCCGCAGCAGATTGACCACAAAGCCCAGGCAGCCCGGGGGCCACTGGGTGGCAGCCAGGTCCAGGCCCCGAGGCGCCTGGGCGCCTGGGGTGGGCGGGAGTGGGTGGGGTTGGGCACGTTGCGGTGTGGTAACGGGCTTGTGCCGGGTGCAGGCCTCCGTCGCGCAGGAGGATTTTCTGAGGGGGCTCAGCCATGGGTGCCAGACGACCTGTGTCACAGCTGCGCCACGCATGCTGTGAGGGGTGCCTGGATCCTCCACCAAACACTCAGGCCAAGAAAGCGCCAAGCCGAGCCTCACCCCGGTCCTGCATCGCCACCAGCATGCGCGTGTGCGGCAGCACCATGGGCAGCGCCTCGTCAGCGCCCTCCGTCGCCTCCGCCGCCAGCCGCCTGGCCAGCGGGCTCATCCCCTGCAGCTCGATGCGTCCCGCCCGGCCCTCCGCTTCGGGGCTGCAGGGCAGGCCATGGGCAGGGGCGTGCGCACACGTAGACAGTCGTTTGCTCAGGTCTCCGTGCATTGATTGGATGGCCATGATAGACTCGGCGTACACTGTGGGCATCCGCCTGCTGACTGGTTGGCTGTGCACAGTCACAGCGGCCTGACGACTCGGCTGACGTCTTGAGGCGTCATGTATCCGTTGTGCAGATTCGGCGGCCGCCCAAACTCCATTCGTCCCACGCAGCCCCCACCTGAAGGGCTGTATCAGCGAGTAGCTCAGCATGGAGGGCACCGGGCCGCCGCTGCCGGAGGACAGCAGCGCCCTCAGGCGAGATATGCACTCGTAGGTCTTCACAACCACCACCTTGGGGAGTGTGGTGGGGCAGCAGGGAGGAGGGGGGGTTGCGCTGCAAGTGGGCGCAGGAGGGTGCGGCTTGCCAAAATTGGCAACGGCGTGGGAGTGCCGGGCCCTAAGGACACAAGGCCGACTGACTCGGCATGCATTCACGCAATGTGTGGCGCAGTGCGTGTATGGCCCACGATCACATGCGAAGCACACGTTGGACTGCACGCCCGCGGCCACCTGCATCGCGCCCATGTATGCGGCCGACGCCACCTCCGCCAGCCGCCGGTCCTCGACGGTCACCAGCTGGGCAAACACGCCCACCTGGCGGGGGGCCCGACAGAGTGGGTTGCGACGACTTGGCACACAGGGGATGATGGGACACATGGAATCCAAAGGGGAGCCGCGCACGGCCTGCACCACGAGTTGGACGAGGAAGCCTGTGGCCAAGGTCAACCCGATGAATTTAGACCGTGAACTCGTGTGACTCAAGGCGCCGACAGCATTCATGAGGCCAGCCCCTCAGCCGCCTGCTGCGCCCCCCCCCCACCATGTCAGGGTCCTTGCTGACGAGGCAGCGCTGGATGGCCTGGGTCATGCCGCTGGACGGGGGGCCGTAGGCCGCGGGGA